AAAAACAACTGTGAAAAAATTCCTATACACACTGCACATATCTTACTTTGAAGTGAAAAAACAAACGTGGCAAAAACACCCAGCTGGCCGGATAAATGTCCTCAGCGGGCGGCATGTGGCTTGCCTGGTTTGAGGATGCCTGGTCTATAGAGCCCCTGGTGGCCCAGGCCATATGTTAAAGACTATTGGGACTTTAGACTCTGTTCTTTCGAGAAGCACAACATCCTACATAGGCCACGTCAGAAGGACCCAATGTGGAAACCCCACTAATTGAACTGGGCTTTACCTCAAACTCATCTGTAGCCCTTGGACTGAAGGCTCAAACTCTCTCGTGTGAGAAGGCACAAATGACTGCTCTCCCAAGAGCATACATCGGGAGGATGTGGGGCTTTGGTTTGGACCTCTTGCCTTGAGGATGCCCAATAAATAGTGGCCTGGAGCTACCCTGAATTGACTATTTGAATGCCTCCTTTCTTTATGATGACATGTTTTAATCTGGTAGGTGTGGCCCTGCTGCTGTAAATGAATATTATGGAAAGTTTTGCCCTATAAGCCATCTCTATTATTTGTGTAAATAGTGTCCAGTCACTTAAGAGTTTAATCTGTACAAGTCAACAATTCACGTCTTTCTAGACTCTACATAATCTGTACAAGTCAACAATTCACGTCTTTCTAGACTCTACATAATTTTCTTTTCTCAATAGTGTTTTAAATTGTATACCATTGGCTAAATTAATGACACTATCAGTAGAATTAACTTATGCCCCAGGGAAATGATTGATCATGTTTACTAACATAAAATGACAGTGGTGTCTCTTAGGTGAACCAGAGACATAAATAAACCATAGATATATGAATAGAGTTGGGGCTCACACTTTAATCTACCCCCAATCTAAGAATAATTAGTTCTTGTTATTTAAGTTATTTACAAAATATTGATGCTTATGTTTCAAATGCTCACCAAAAATGTTGAACAGGAATATAAATAGACCATCCAAGCATATAAGCAATATGGCTCCTCATTCAGTTTTGTCGAACATAATAGAACAAAGATGGAAAGGAAATGCATAGGAACAGTAAGTGGCTATATCTGGCGAAGGAAATTTTAGAGACGATCATTTTCTTCTTTTTGCATTTTATCAATGTTTTGATTTTGTAATCAGAAAAAGATATTAAAATGTTAGGTCTTACGCAATCTTGAAAAATTGGGCAAGGAGACATCACTACAGAAACTTCCTATACTCAGTCATTTTTTGTTTTCCTGAAGAGCCCTGTCAGGGGATGTATTGTAGTTTACCTCAGTGGCACCAGGAAAATGGAGTGATTCATTTTTGGTGAGTTCTATCCAAATACCATATATACTCATGTATACGCCCAGGTTTTTCCAGCATATTTTTAATGTAGTTTTGTGGTAAAATCAGGTGCCTCGGCTGATATTCGGGTCGGCTTATACTCGAGTATATATGGTAATGGTTGTCACCAAAGAAATCTAGAAATGCTTATAAAGGAAATTGTTTGCATCCAGCTAAGTGGCCTTTCTCAGATTCTGAACAGTGCCACTACCAGAAGTTAAGTGTCAGGATTTGAAATGATTCTGTTTTCTTTGTACTTTTTGTCTTTTCCAGTTGTATGTTGGGCCATCACTCGTTATTCTCAACGT